AGACCTGCTCGGCAGGATAGGAGGGGTAGGGATAGGAACGGGATAGGAGGACTGGGGATAGAGACAGAAACGGGACAGAGCAGAGGTCCCGCAAGAGACACTCCGTGCACGACCTCGCAGCTCTCCCCCTTCCCTCTTTCGCAATGACCGATCGCTGTCGTGCCATTCTAGATGAATGGAACACCAGAGTGTGCACTCAAGGCAAACGGTCCAGTTGTGGCGCACAGCAGTCACAGTGCCTCATGCGTTCCACAAAGCGAGGGGTCGCCAACTCGTATAATACTCCGTACACGGTCCCATAATACCACTATAATACTCATAATACATCATAATAGTGCATAATACCTCATAATACTCCATAATACTATCATAATAGAATCATAATACTCCATAATACACTCATAATACGCATAATATTTCATAGTATCCAATATTTTTTCATGCCAGCAAAAACAAAAACTATAATTTTGTAACCATTTTGAGCTGATGCGGACCCCACCCTCATGCCCTCCGTGACCCATATTTAATGTGTTTTTTCTGCTCAAAATCTAGATCATTAAAAGGATTATTTTTTAATTTAATTTCGCAGCATACACATGCAGATAAACATCTAGCCGCACAATAGGTGATATGTATGGCTGCTATGTGCAGGGCTGAATTTGCTGTACACTGTCAAGCCATTTGCAACTGTATTACTTGTAAGTGTTCAACTCACAGTTATCACGTGCAATTGCTTTACTCAACAGTTTTGCAGTTGCAAGTGTTTACAAACCTATTCCCCATGTGCGTACACGCTAACTTCAAGGATATCACCGTGTTTGAAAATTTCGGTGTAATAAGTGACTTTTTCAGGTGTATTATGCACCATAATACAAACATAATAATTCATAATACTATACAATACCGTATAATACTTCAAAATACCCATAACCCATACTATTCATAATATCCATGGTACCCATAATATTCATAATATTCATAATACCCATAATATATAATACTCCGTACACGGCTCAGGAGAGTGGGCGACCCCTCGCCACAAAGGCAATATGACGAAGAGAAAATCAATTCTGCAACCGACATAAACAGCGATTCACTTCACGAGTTTCACATACACAAAATAACAGCCACTGAAAACAAACGTCAACGGTTTTCAGACGTGCTTGCAGCATGTGAATTGATTAAGATTTGGTCCGTATGGACATGATGAAATGAGGGAAAGATATGGCACCAAAATAATTCTCTCCTCTTCAGCTTTAAATGAAAAAAAAGTAAAAAAAGTTCCAGCACAAGGCTAAGAAATAGATAGTTCCCCCGATCAGGCTACAAAGTTTATGCACACAGTCCTCAGCGCAGTGGTGGCGTGGCGCGGCGGCGTAGTGCTGCCTGCGGACTCCCCCCCCCCCCCTCCTCTTCCCTGCGGGAAGGCGGCAGCGGGGCGGAGGAGCGTCAGCCAGCGCCCGGCCTTGCCCAAACGCCGCCAACGACATACTCTGTGCCATAGAGAGTGAGGAGGAGAAGGGCACTTTACCCTCTGGTAGAGACAGTCTTTAGGGGACTGTCTAAAAAACAAGGACACTTTTCAGCTTGCAAACAGATGGAGCATAACGGACGAAATTTCGACCCGGTGACTCTACTCTAACGAGTCATCCCTAAGGCGATGCCAAAAGACACCTAATTTTATACGGGACTAAAATTGATGCGTCGCCGCGTCACCCGTCGCGTAATCACCCCCAGCCCATCACGCCGAAAAATGTCATCACTAGTAAACGTAATTCATACGAGCTATGCAGTGCGTTGCGTCCATCGATGCCCGGTCGCCGCCCCACCGGCCGCGGTGACTGACGAGACACACCGAGAGCGGATCGCTCTGACATACGTGATAAAGTTGCGAAAACTCATTTCGCCAACAGCGAGACGCGTATCCGGTGTGTGCCAAACTGGGATGGGCCGCTAGGGAGCAGCGCAGGCCACTCGGCGCCGAGGAGACGAGAGTAGATGGGGAGGTGTGGGGGAGAGAAAGAGAGATGAGAAATCCAATTGAACGCCCGTGAAACGTCAGTCGAGTCGTCCGACACGGCTATGGAGAAACACGGCTCAGTGAGCGAGAATCTAGAAAGCAGGAGTCAATCTAGCGGGTCGCATTAGAGCTCCCAATTCTAGCTTCCTTTCATCTGAGCTTTCATCAAATTCTTACCCCCAGCCCCTCACCCCCCTTTTCACCCCCAGTCTCAGTGTAGTATTCGATGAGGAGCCGTAAGTTGATTCAAGATAGGTCATTTCCCGTTCGCTGACCGGCAACATTGTAACCTGAAACTCACGTGAGGGAGAGAGAGATAGGGGAATACGTGGCGGTAACCGGCAACAGGTCGCCCCGAGAAAGTAAGAGATACAGAGGAGTGAGGGACGGGGGTTGCGGAGGGTAGGTGGTTTGGATGAGTGAGTGAGTGAGAAGGAAACAGCAAAGGCCGTGCAACGCCACAATACCGCAGAGCACATAGGTGCGTGACGGGCCTGCCCACCGTAAAGGCCTTACATAAAGAGAACTAGAAGCAAAGGGAAACGCACAGCATAGTTTTTTTTTCCTAAAAAAAAGGTTGTTTTTATTGATTTTCAGAGCGGGACTATGAAGAAAGAAAACCATTATGAGTGGTCACACGGAAAATCGCCGTATGCCGTTTTTCAAGTCCGTCGAGTCGTGCTCTGTCAACTCGAACCCATACATTGCCTACATTAAACTGCATATGGAGCAATGTTTCAGTACCATCACTCAAATAAAGCGAAGATAACAAGCACGTAACTCTATTGGGCACCGATAAATGTCATCAATCTTTGTAGACCATAGTGTCGGTGTGTGTAGGGTCATGTCACCCACGTCCATTGTCAAACGCGTTTCGTAGAGCGAGGAGATGTGGCAGCAGAGGGAGCAGGGGTTCTCTG